CCAGCCAGGGATATCATTCTGAGCACATGGAATGCTCCCAGCCAGGGATATCATACTGAGCACATGGAATGCTCCCAGCCAGGGATATCATACTGAGCACATGGAATGCTTCCATCCAGCCAGGGATATCATTCTGAGCACATGGAATGCTCCCATCCAGCCAGGTATATCATACTGAGCACATGGAATGCTCCCATCCAGCCAGGGATATCATACTGAGCACATTGAATGCTCCCATCCAGCCAGGGATATCATACTGAGCACATGGAATGCTCCCAGCCAGAGATATCATACTGAGCACATGGAATGCTCCCAGCCAGGGATATCATACTGAGCACATTGAATGCTCCCATCCAGCCAGGGATATCATACTGAGCACAAGGAATGCTCCCAGCCAGGGATATCATACTGAGCACATGGAATGCTCCCAGCCAGGGATATCATACTGAGCACATGGAATGCTCCCAGCCAGGGATATCATACTGAGCACATGGAATGCTCCCAGGGATATCATACTGAGCACATGGAATGCTCCCAGCCAGGGATATCATACTGAGCACATTGAATGCTCCCATCCAGCCAGGGATATCATCTGAGCACATGGAATGCTCCCAGCCAGGGATATCATACTGAGCACATGGAATGCTCCCAGCCAGGGATATCATACTGAGCACATGGAATGCTCCCAGCCAGGGATATCATACTGAGCACATGGAATGCTCCCAGCCTTGGATATCATACTGAGCACATGGAATGCTCCCATCCAGCCAGGGATATCATACTGAGCACATGGAATGCTTCCATCCAGCCAGTGATATCATTCTGAGCACATGGAATGCTCCCAGCCAGGGATATCATACTGAGCACATGGAATGCTCCCAGCCAGGGATATCATACTGAGCACATGGAATGCTCCCAGCCAGGGATATCATACTGAGCACATGGAATGCTCCCAGCCAGGGATATCATACTGAGCACATGGAATGCTTCCATCCAGCCAGGGATATCATTCTGAGCACATGGAATGCTCACATCTAGCCAGGGATATCATACTGAGCACATGGAATGCTCCCAGCCAGGGATATCATACTGAGCACATGGAATGCTCCCAGCCAGGGATATCATACTGAGCACATGGAATGAATGCTGCCCAGCCAGGGATATCATACTGAGCACATGGAACGCTCCCATCCAGCCAGGGATATCATACTGAGCACATGGAATGCTCCCAGCCAGGGATATCATACTGAGCACATGGAATGCTCCCAGCCAGGGATATCATACTGAGCACATGGAATGCTCCCAGCCAGGGATATCATACTGAGCACATGGAATGCTCCCAGCCAGGGATATCATACTGAGCACATGGAATGCTCCCATCCAGCCAGGGATATCATACTGAGCACATGGAATGCTCCCAGCCAGGGATATCATACTGAGCACATGGAATGCTCCCAGCCAGGGATATCATACTGAGCACATGGAATGCTCCCAGCCAGGGATATCATACTGAGCACATGGAATGCTCCCAACCAGCCAGGGATATCATACTGAGCACATGGAATGCTCCCATCCAGCCTGGGATATCATACTGAGCACATGGAATGCTCCCATCCAGCCAGAGATATCATACTGAGCACATGGAATGTTCCCATCCAGCCATGGAGATCATACTGAGCACATGGAATGCTCCCAGCCAGGGATATTATACTGAGCACATGGAATGCTCCCATCCAGCCTGGGATATCATACTGAGCACATGGAATGCTCCCATCCAGCCAGAGATATCATACTGAGCACATGGAATGCTCCCATCCAGCCAGGGAGATCATACTGAGCACGTGGAATGCTCCCAGCCAGCCAGGGATATCATACTGAGCACATGGAATGCTCCCAGCCAGGGATATCATACTGAGCACATGGAATGCTCCCATCTAGCCAGGGATATCATTAGTACAATACTATCTGCCCATTTTAAAGAAAAAAAAAGTAATCTGTAAATACAAAATATTTGTGTCAGTAGTTTTTTTGAATTTTTAGGATAATGATAAAGTCATTTTATTTCATACAGTTATACAAATTTTTGTGCTGGTTGGAGTGGGGTGAGGGGCAGTATTATGTATAAAAGAAAAGATAAAAAGTAATCTGCAAAGTACAAAATGTTTGTGTTAGAAGTTGTGCCAAAAATCATGCAAAGAAGGTCCATAGTTTTTTTTAAAATAATTTTTAGAATAATGATACAGACATTTTATGTCATACATTTGTGAGGATTGTTTTTTTTTCTCTATATTCAAGGGCCACTTTAGTCACCAGAACCACAACAGCTAAACGTAGTAGTTTGGGGGTCTATATCATGTCTCTGCAGGCTTTTTAACGCAAGCACTGCCTTTTCAGAAAAAAAGCAGTATTTACATTACTGCCCTAGAATACCTCTGGTGGCCACTCATCGGACGGCCACTAGAGGCGCTTCCTAGTCCATTATTACACAACATGCAGCACTGGCATTCACGCTGAACACTCCTCAAAGAAATGAATTGATTCAACGCATCTCCATGAGGAGATGCTGATTGGTGCAGTGCATTGTCTTGCCACCCATGCGCAATAGCTTCCCAATGCTTTCCTATGAAAAAGAAATGGGTTGACTGATATATACTCACACACTGTACATTCCTGTGCATTGGATTGATGAGGTGATCTGTAATACAGTCACAAACTGCACGTTCCTGCAGCTTATAGTGCGGTAGGGCTTGTGATACACTCACACACTGTACTTTGCTATGCATTTTTTTGCGGAGGTGATCTGTGATGTACTTACACATCACTGTGAGTTGTATTGCTGTGGAGCTATGCGATACACTGATATGCTTCACATTACATTATTAAAGTTTACTGCTCTATGAGGTATGTGTGTGTTTGGACCATATATTACAATGGTATAACGTATAGAAGTTAATAGATAACATTTGATTTCTTTTCATATTTATTGGTTTTTTTTTTTTACTTTGCTATGTCATAGAAAACGTTTTGTTCAGGTAGGTCCCAATCAAATTTTAAGGACTGGTTTACTCGAGAAGTAGTAATCTGAATACCTCTAGAGGACTCAATAGTGAGTCCAAGTAACTCAATAGTGAGTTTAATTACAGATCATGTCATCTTTTAGATTAAGTATAGCTCATAGATAGGAAACCCAATTCAACTGATTAGTGAAAAGGTAGCGACTGGCTCATATTCTTAGTTTGGGTATACTTATATCTATTGATGATTGGAGGTGCTAACTTTATATATTTTATTGTTGAATAAGTTAATACATTTAATTTTACTTTTTTATTCTTTACTGTTTGCTTTAGAAGAACAATCCAGTTTTCCACCTTCCCCTCTGTGTCTTCGTGTTTTTGTTTTTCGTTCTCTGAAAGTTTTCATCATATCTATGGATTGTGTCCTCACCAACATTTCTAGTGAACTGGAAAATTATATAAAAGATCTCTTAGCAACTTTGTTACACAAGATCTATTAGCAAGTTTGGGATTCCCTTCTAAGCTGATGACATTACAAGAACTGAACTCTGGTGAGACACTGTTCTAACCAACTGTTGGCCTGTGGATAACTTTCTGTTACTTTTCTGTGCACCCTCTGTCTGTTTTACTTAGGTAATAAAAAGTCCAGACTAAGTTAAAGTCAAGTGTTAATGGGTTCAGTTATTGGGAGATATTTAATTAATGGTGTAATGGAGATTAGAGATTTCAATTAGATCTATTAGAGCATCCAAAATGTTCTACAAACATTCTCCAGTCATAATCATTGCCCAGAATATCCCAATGGGTTCTAAAATACCCACCATTCACATACAATGCCTATTGCAAGTCTTGCGCCCACTAAACAAATCATATTCATTGCAAGTTGTTCAGTAACAAAATCCCAGGTAAATGGAAAATCCCAGTTGAAACGAGTGATATCAGGATTTAGATTAGTTAAACCCCAATGAGACAATTATCAGATTTTACTCTAGTAAATCTACTCAAACTCAGATTGATATTGTCTCTTATACTGGATTAAAAATTAGAACCCATCATGCCTGCTTTAATTAGATTTTAGAGAAATGCTATATTTATACATATTCTTGTAGTGTAGTGGAAGTAGAAGGAAAATGTGGAGAACTCCAAAAAAGAGTTGATGAAGGCTAAAAGTAGATTGACCTTTACCCAATTACAAACAATACTAGCCAAGCTTGGAATATCTAGCAAGTGCAATATCTATTTCAAAGAGTGTCTATGACTAATTACTTCCCCTACTCTTGGGAAGATTCTGTGGTAAAACATCTCTCAGCATGAAAAGTGTTGGATCCCTGGTGGATGAACTCCATCGTCTTTACCTTTATCACGTATAGATCCATTTAGGCCGCCCTTGCAGTTTCAGAGCTTAGTCAAAGATGGAGGACTGCAAGGACTCTCTTAAAATAGTCTGCACCTGATATTGGTGCAGACCACAATGCTCCCTCACTTTGTTGATATCTCAGTCTCACTGCTGGATGATGGCCTATTGAGAACCAGAACTCCGGGCTTAGAGAGGGGCTCACTCGACCGCTTTCTGAGCCCAGGTCCAAGGCTACTGCCTTGGTAGCCTAATGGATTATCTGGCTCCGAATGAAAGGAACATTCAGGGCACCATATCAACTTAATTAAGATGGAAATTGTTATGTTACCTCAAGTGTTCCTTCAACTGCAGGTGCTCATAATTTGTGTGAGTAAAGGGGTCAATTTGTTGCCCCTACCTGGGGTCCCATGTGTTTGTTTAAGTAGCAAAATAAGTGTGCAAGCATCACGTGGCATTAATGGGCTTCCTCGTGACCGGCCACCATGACCACCTTCATTAAACTCATTTAATTTCACGGTGACTCTGATATAAAAACAGTGTTAGACAGACAGGATAAACTAGTCTAAGCAAGCACAAGGGCGATAAGATCTCATGCCATGATGGCTAGAGACAATATTTAATTTTCGCTAATGGCAGCAAGTCACAGAGATTTGGAACACACACAATTTAGATTTTATGTTATGGTGCTCATACTGGCCCTTTAAGCAGGTTTGATGAGGAAACCTATATATTTGGGTTATATTTTACAGCAACCTTGAGTATAAGTGAAGGGTTCCAAATTAGAATGTGCGTAAACTAAGGATAGAACATGGTAGCTGAATAGTAAACATTGCACAATTTCAAGTAACATCCAAAGTGCAGGACAGCTGTTCACCAGAGGGTGAACTCACTCAAGAGTGAGGTGATAGTACAGTTGGAAAACATAGGTTGCAATAAGGATTAGCACAGTGTACACACAGCACAGTGACCCACACTGTACACACACACAAACACAACTACCCACACTATACACACAGCACAGCGACCAACACAGTACACACACACAAACACAACTACCACACTATACACACAGCACAGCGACCCACACTGTACACACACACAAACACGACTACCCACACTGTACACACAGCACAGCGACCCACACTGTACACACACACAAACACAACTACCCACACTATACACACAGCACAGCGACCCACACTGTACACACACACAAACACGACTACCCACACTATACACACAGCACAGCGACCCACACTGTACACACACACAAACACGACTACCCACACTATACACACAGCACAGCGACCCACACTGTACACACACACAAACACGACTACCCACACTGTACACACAGCACAGCGACCAACACAGTACACACACACAAACACAACTACCACACTATACACACAGCTCAGAGACCCACACTGTACACACCCACACCTGGGCTACCACACTGCACACACAGCTCAGCTACCCACACTGTACACACAGATCAGCTACCCACACTGTACACACACACAAACAAGACTACCCACACTGTACACACAGCTCAGCTACCCCCACTGTTCACACACACACCTCGCCTACCCACACGATAGACACAGCTCAACTACCCACACTGTACACAGACACACACCTCGGCTACCCACACTATACACACAGCTCAGAGACCCACACTGTACACAGACACACACCTCGGCTACCCACACTATACACACAGCTCAGAGACGCACACTGTACACCTCGCCTACCCACACGATAGACACAGCTCAACTACCCACACTGTACACAGACACACACCTCGGCTACCCACACTATACATACAGCTCAGAGACCCACACTGTACACACACACATACCTCGGCTACCCACACTATACACACAGCTCAACTACCCACACTGTACACACACACACACACACACACCTTGGCTACCCACACTATACACACAGCTCAGAGACCCACAATGCACACACACATACCTCGGCTACCCACACTGCACACACAGCTCAGCTACCCCCACTGTACACACACACACACAAACACCTTGGCTACCCACACTGTACACACAGCTCAGCTACCCATACAGTACACAAAGCTCAGTGACCCACAATGTACAGACACAGCTACCCACACTGTACACACACAGCTCAGCAGCTATCCACACTGGACACACACAGTTCAGCTATCAACACTGCTACTCATAATGAAAACACAAATACACTAAACACTGTTACACATACTGCTAATACACAAATCCTGCTACACAAACACTTTTACACACAGAGATGCACACATACTACATACTCACACTGTGAACTCTCTTCTACAAATACTACTGCACATGCTACTACCCTCGCTGTTCCAAACACACACTACTGCACACAATTTTCACAAACACACTTACACAGAAATACGTGCACTCAGACCATTATACACTGCTACAGATGTGCACACACCACACACACACCTATACAAACACACACTCACTCTACATGCGCACATGTACAACAATTTGTATAATATTTAAAATAGTTAACTTCATTGTTAATGTAGAAGTGTGTACAGGGGGTGCTTGAGAATTTTGTGCCTCGTGGTGTATTTATACATATTTATACAATAAAATGCACGCTAATATACATTTACATCCCTGTGTCTGCACATGTATACACGTCAATATATATCCACACATTCACATCTACAAATATATCTTATACTTACACACATCGGTTAGAATCATGACACATACATTACCAAACTAAAAAAGCTGACAAAAGGATTAGAGCTATGAGACGGCCATGTAAACCTTTGGTAGTGGTAAAGCAAACTCTAATCAATTTTATTGGATTAGTCTGACTTTAATTGTTTTATTTTTTTCTCCTGGTTATTTCTGAATCCCTTCTCCAAACTTTAATTTTTAGGTCCTTGACTGAGTAGTCTGCCTGGGTGAAATAGTGTCCCAAGGGGATGCAGAGAGATTCCTGTTTGTGGTGTTTAAATGAGTGTCTGCTGGATGGTTTTATACAATATCGCCCCCTAGCATACATTTAGTGCATAGCAGTATAGATATGCAACATGCTAGATGTGCATGAGTGTGATTCTTTAATAATTTAGGTCATGTGTTGGCACAATTTGCAACTGGATTTTCTGTGAGGAGGGGTCCTATATTCTGTATTCTTCCCATCAGCAGGTAGTTTCTAGATAATTATATTTTGTTGATTTAGGGGTCGTCAAAAGGAGACAACAGGGGTTTCAGAGAAGATGTATTTAAGAATCAAGTCCACCACTACCACTCATTATATATCTTTAATAATTTTTCTGTATTTCCTAGAAAGATACTTTTTCAACCTGTACTGTAGCAGGTGTACGTTTGGGGTTTTCAGAGCAGAGCAAATTTGTTTGGCAATGCTTCTTGATTTGTAGACATTATGTCTCAAAGATTTAGAGAATATATGGTGCCCTGCTTAGTATGAAATGGGTGAAAGTTAAAGCTAAAAAGGTAACTTCACCCGTGTCTACTTTTGGTAGATTTTATCACAATTTCAAGTCACTGTAGTATCCAGAAAGGTAACTTTTCTTTAGAATAATCCACTTAGTTTGATAAAAGATAGAATGAGTGTTATGAGGGTCTATACAGCATCATGCTACATGGAAGTGGTATTCATATATGTTTTCATCATCTCTCAAACATGAATACAGCCCCCAATCATCACAGAAATGCAAAACTCATCCTTACGTAAATAATTTTAGCTTTAACAGAAAGGTTTATCTACAAATTATGGGGACTGCCATGGGTACTAAGATGGCCCCCCAATATGCCAGTTACACCAAACCTTTCATAAACCATCACTACAGAGATATCTTCATCATTTAGAAAGAGATAAAGAAAAACTCAAACTATTTCGTGATTTATTCAAGTAATTTAGCCATAACTTATTAGTCCTTTTTGTGCCAATGGTGTGCCCAGTGCATTGCTTTGAATACCTATGACACTCAAAGATTTAATGAAAAAATTGCCTGTCTCCACATTTTTGGCGGTGGCTTCTGAATTCTTATGAAATGTATCAAGCCCTTCTGTAATTAAAAACTATAATATAGCTGAGTAAATGCTATAACTCAGGGAAGAAAGAAACTAGGTAGATTGCGTGTATAGATTATTAGTCACTGCAAAAGTAAGAAGACCTCAAGACATATTGCACAAGTTCAAATTGATTTATTTTGGCATCAAGCAGACACTTCATTTTAAGAACATTAGATAACTTTAGGAAAAGTACTTAGAACCATTTGACCTATTCTAATAATACCTCATATATTCTAATTATTAAGTATTAAATAAAATTATAATACCATCTAATTGTATTGCAACATTGTAAAGAGAAAACGCCAACTCTGACAGTATAAAAAGGACAGAGTTAGCAACTTTAATAATGAATACGGCCCAGAATCACTTGAACATCTTCCCATAACCTCTGTGCTCCATATCAGGACAGTCATGTCAACGAAAGGTGGAAAGACCCAGTGTCCAGCCCCTACTCCCGAGCCATGTCCTCCACCTCAGCAAACTCAGCAAACTCAAAACCGTAAGTAGTCACCTAGGCAAAACAATATTGCAAATCTCTGGGGGTTTTTTAATAATAATTTTTTCCCTTCACGTATCACCTGTTGTCTTCTCCAATTTTTAATTCATTTGCAATAGTCTTATATCTCCACTTCTTTTTCTTAACCTTATATTGCTCTTTGATTATGTAAAAGTGATGTTTTCAATACTTTTTAGCAAATCACAATCTTCGTTTCTTATTGATTTATCGTGATTACGATAATGGATAAAAATGTAAAAAGTCTAAAGCTGAAATGTGAGTGATATGTGCCAGAAAATATTTAAAATAGTGCTTAATTTACTTTATGTTAATTAATTAATATAAGGGAACCAGGTCTCACACATCTTATAGCTATGAAAATACCATTGTGTAGTTTTGCAAAATGGCACAAAGCTAACCTTAGAAAGGATAACTGTTAAGAAAACAATATGGACTAATCCTGGCTGGTATATTTGGGAAATGTCTATAAATCAGTAGTGGTGCTGGCACCATGTGACTTTTTTCACCATTAGTTAAATTGGAACATATACTGGTGCCCTCATTTAAAAAAGAGATCAAATTGTCAGGTTGAAAATTACAGATATTTGAGCCCGACATCATGAAACAGAAATTATTAGGATGGTCATTAAAGTGCGATATGTGTAGAATACATTTTTTTCATTCATTAGTAGGAATCAACATGTTTCATGAAAGCCATTTAATGATGAATATAGATTAGTGTTTGTTGTGTTTAATTTCCATCTTTGATTTGAACCAGATATTGAAAGACACCTCTATATCTGCAGGGAAGACAACAAGAGAGGAAAATGCAAAATAGATTGTATATCTCTCACAGGGAGATGCATGTTTGAGCACTTTGGAAACAAAAATATCCCTGTAATGTATAGGTGTATACTATACAGAAGGTGAATTTTATAAATCTGAAAAGTATAAAAACAACAAGACGTTACCTTGCAAATGCAGTGACAATGCTACATACTATAATATAAAATGAATAACATTATTTTACATCCCCCATGATGCTTTGTGGGCCTTTAAAGGGTCTACTTTTTAGCCATGCCTGTTTTAGACAGGTGCATTCTCACCATATGGGCAGGTGGAGATTACATTATCCAAACCAGGTAAAAACCCAATAAGACACAAACACTCTTGGGTATGGGTCAATATGTCAGCTTTAATAACTTATACGATCAAACAAACGTATTAAAGTCATTGTCCACCCCAACCACACAACATTATAACATCTCCCACATGTAAAATAATAGGCAATGACCCATATCATAAACATTAACATAACAATATAGCAATCACATACATTCATTTGCCATTTTGTAGTTCACAAGTTGTGTAGCAAATATTATAAGGAAAGCATAGAATAGTTATATTTGTTACTGCAGAAATAAACACACTTTTTATTGTGTATGATAGAAAGATATGGAAATAAACTAGGCCCAAGGACACAAGTGTTTGGTGAGTTATTCATTAACAGGATTGTACAATCTCTTTATAATAATATTTTCATTCAACAAAAATATTCAGCTGCTAAGTCTACAAGAATTTCCCCTTTTGAGAGTTAAGATCACTTTTATCATTTTTTTGGGTCGGTAAAAAGGACATGTGAAAGTCAATGGACATAGGTCATTTTTTTTAACCTATATTACGAAGGTACCACCGAATCATGTGTGGATGGTTAAACTTGATGGACTTGAGTCTTTTTTTTTTTTATCTAGATGTTTATGTTACTATGATACTAAATGTGCCATGCTATTACTCAGTTACTAATCATTTTCTTTATCTCAATGTTACAGCATGTCAAACAAGTGGCGGTAGCAGTGGACGTGGTGGAAATGACGGCGGCTATGGACAGCAGACCCAGGTCCCCTCACAACCCCCCCGTAAGTACTTTATAGGAATTCAAGACTATAAAAAAAATTATATGATTTGAACATTGCCTTACTGGTTTAGGGTTTTTGTTTTTTGTTTTTTTTTGTTTCTCTTTTGTTCTGTTGTTTTGTTTTGTCTATGTGATTTTATAAAATAACATATACTATTTTGTCTGACTGATGGAAAGAAAAGAAAAATGCATTAAAATACATAAAGTTTAAAGAAAAAAGGAAACAAATGATAAATACACAAAAATATAATAAAACAAATAACAAAAAAAAGAGAAAGAAAGGAAAAAATGGAAAGATGGAGGAAAAAAAGTTTGACAGTTGGCAACAAAAACTGTGAAAGATGGGACCCCTCCTGCCTCCCTTGGTATACTTATCATCTGTTTTGGCTTCCAATATCACTTCTATGTGGGTGACATTCCAATCTATCTGTCCTCTCCTGATCTCTTGGTGTCTTTCTTGATTTCTGTCCACTCAGCTATTTCTAACTAGATGACTGCTCATTTTCTAAAACCTATCCTATCCAAAATAGAGCTTCTCTTCTTTCCTCCTCCAAGTGTTGTGAATCTTGTGTCTCCCTCCTTCCAAGTCAAAAGCATTCCCATCTTCTCTACCGCTCATGCTTGCTGCCTAGGTGACTCCAACCTCTCATTTACCCCTCATGTTCAGTCCTTTGCCAAATCCTGCTACTTTTATCTCAGAAACATAACTTCCATCCACTTCTATCTAACTCAAGATGCGGCTTAGGTGTTGGTCCATGCCACTATCACCTCTTGCCTTGACTACTGCCATCTGCTTCTCAATGGTCTTACACATTCCCAGCTGGCCTAGTTACAGTCTATAATGAATGCGGCGGTGAGACTCATATTCCTGTCCGACTGCATCTCCCATGCCTCTCCCCTCTGTTAGTCCTTACACTGACTTCCCATGAGATTTAGGGCTCAATTTACAATTCTGGTACTTGTTTACAAATCTCTACACAATGTTGCTCTTACCTATTCCCCTCTAACACACAAGTATGTTCTGTCCAGGCCCAAATGCTCTTCTGAAGATCTGCATCTATTATCTGTTTGTAACCTCTGACACCCACCTTCAAGACCTTTCTAGGGCTGCAACATTTCTATGAAACTCCCTTCTCTTCACCGTTAGACTCTTACCCAGTCTGAGTTCCTTTAAGAGATCATTAATAACTAATTTCTTTAGGAAAGCATATCAATTAAACTGTTATTTGCTTTCCCTCCCCGCACCTTGGTAACCCACCCTGCTTCCTCTTTCATCCAAAAAAACTAACCCTTCACTGAAAACTATTCTAAAAAAACAGCTTTTCCCGATACATGAAACACATCCTACCCTTACGTCTTGTGTCACTTTACCCCACTCCCTCTAGCAAGTAAGCTAATTGAGCAGGGCCATCAACACTCTGTTTATGTGCATACAACTTATCTGGTTACAAATAATTGTATATTATTCCATCTGTTGTACAGAACTGCAAGATTTGTTGGTGCTTTATAAACAATAATAATTAGTCTTTTCATTTTTCGATGTTGCAGAATGTCAAACAAGTGGAGGTAGTGGAGGTAGCGGTGGAAGCGGTGGAAGTGGTGGAAGTGGGGGCAGCTGTGGACAGCAGACCCAGGTCCCTTCTCAACCCCAACGTAAGTAATTTATATGAATTCAGGACTATAAAAGGATGTGATTTGAACTTTGCCTTACTGGTTAAGGTTTAGAAGAAGGTAATATATTCTTCTTATATACGTTGAGATGGCCACATTACAGTTGGCAGCAAGAGCTCTGAAAGATAAGCAGAGAAGCTAAAATGTTTGGCATCGCTGATATACAGATCGTTTTGAAAACTGGTTGCTAAGCGAAATAGTTTACATAATTATAGCAAAAAATATATTATGTTCCCCTATTAAGTAACATATTTTAATGGCAAAGAAACACATAAATAAACCCAACCAGCCTGTGTGTTAGTTAAGCTCTAACACTTCCTCAAATTGTCCAGATGTTGTACATGTTACCACAATCTACATATAAACTAGGCCTAAGGACACAACTCTTGGCGAGTTATTCATTAACAGGTTTGTACAATATTTTTATAGTAATATTTTCATTCAATAAATACATTAATTTGCCATTTTCTTGTTCACAAGAAATTTCCCCTACTGAGATTTAAGATTCTTTTTTTTTTTATTTATTTTTTTTATCAGCAACAACAACAAGGACATCTGTTATTCTTATTAGAACACTATAGGGCCAGGAACATAAATATGTATTCCTGATCCTTTAGTGTTAAAATCACTCGTATTTAAGTCTGCATCTGCTGCCTCTGCCCCGACCTGCCTGCTTGCCTGACATCATTAGAAGGGATTCTGTGACCCAATCACAGTGCTTTCTAATAGGATTGGCTGAGACTGTCAGGAGGCAGATCAGGAGCAGAGTCAGCACAAGCCAAAAACAGCCCTGGCCAATCAGCATCTCCTTATTGAATCAATGCATCTCTAAGGGGAAAGTTCAGTGTATCCATGCAGAGGGTGGAGACACTGAATGACAGTGCTTCTCACTGTGCAGCACTGGCACAGGAAGCACCTCTAACAGCCATCTGAAGAGTGGCCAGTGGAGTTATCACTAGGCTGTAATGTAAACATTGAATTCTCTCTGAAAAGACAGTGTTTACTGCAAAAGGCTTGAAGGGATTGATTCTACTCACCAGGACAAATACAATAAGCTGTAGTTGTTTTGGTGACTATAGTGTCTCTTTAATCTATCGTCTGTAACATGTATGGATAGTTGAACTTGATGGACTTGAGTATTTTTTTTAACCTATATTGCTATGGTACTATGATACTAAATGTGCCCTGCTCTAACCAATATCATCTCTCACTCATTTACTAATTTTCTCAATGTTACAGAATGTCAAACACGTGGAGGTAGTGGTGGAAGTGGTGGAAGTGGAGGCAGCTGTGGACAGCAGACCCAGGTCCCTTCTCAACCCCAACGTAAGTACTTTATAGGAATTCAGGACTATAAGAGGATGTGATTTGAACTTTGCCTTACTGGTTAAGGTTTAGAAGAAGGTAATATATTCTTCTTATGTACGTTGAGATGACCACATTACAGTTGGCAGCAAGAGCTCTGAAAGATAAGCAGAGAAGGTAAAATGTTTGGCATCGCTGGTATACAGATAGTTTTGGAAACTGGTTGCTAAGCGAAATAGTTTACATAATTATAGCAAAAATATATTATGTTTCCCTATTAAGTAACATATTTTAATGGCAAACAAACACATAAATAAATAAACCCAACCAGCCTGTGTGTTAGTTAAGCTCTAACACTTCCTCAAATTGTCCAGATGTTGTACATGTTACCACAATCTACATATAAACTAGGCCTAAGGACACAACTCTTGGCGAGTTATTAATTAACAGGTTTGTACAATATTTTTATAGTAATATTTTCATTCAATAAATACATTAATTTGCCATTTTCTTGTTCCCAAGAAATTTCCCCTACTGAGATTTAAGATTCTTTTTTTTCTTTTTTTTTATCAGCAACAACAATAAGGACATCTGTTATTCTTATTAGAACACTATAGGGCCAGGAACATAAATATGTATTCCTGATCCTTTAGTGTTAAAATCACTTGTATTTAAGTCTGCATCTGCTGCCTCTGCCCCTGACCTGCCTGCTTGCCTGACATCATCAGAAGGGATTCTGTGACCCAATCATAATGCTTTCTAATAGGATTGGCTGAGACTGTCTGGAGGCAGATCAGGAGCAGAGTCAGCGCAAGCCAAACATAGCCCTGGCCAATCAGCATCTCCTCATGGAATCAATACATCTCTATGAGGAAAGTTCAGTGTATCCATGCAGAGTATGGAGACACTGAACGGACAGAACTGGCACAGGAAGCACATCTAACAGCCATCTGAAAAGTGGTCAGTGAAGTTATCACTAGGCTGTAATGTAAACACTGCATTTTCTCTGAAAAGTCAGTATTTACTGCAAAAAGCCAGAACAAATACAATAAGCTGTGGTTGTTTTGGTGACCATAGTGTCCCTTTAATCTACCATCTGTAACATGTATGGATATTTGAACTTGATGGACTTGAGTATTTTTTTAACCTATATTGCTATGGTACTATGATACTAAATGTGCCCTGCTCTAACCAATATCATCTCTCACTCATTTACTAATTTTCTCAATGTTACAGAATGTCAAACACGTGGAGGTAGTGGTGGAAGTGGAGGAAATGGTGGCAGCTGTGGACAGCAGACCCAGGACTGCCCACAACCCCCCAGTAAGTACTTTTATGAATTCAGGACTATTGAAAGTTAGATGCTATAGAAAGTTAGTTCCTACTTTGTCTCTGTATATCTGTTGACTGGGTTGGAATTGCAATGAAATTCCAACGCAGTCAGTATGAGTATTTAATAAAACTTTTGTCATTATGAAATACTCATTTTGGATGGGGGTGACAGAGCCGCTTTAAATGACAATTAAGCATTTTACTTAATTTTTTTTACTTTTAGATCCTTGCCAAGAAAAAGGCAGTCGAGGAAGCAAATGAGATTGGAACCTGAATGTGCACGCTTAGTGCTCTAGAGCTTTTGCAACTGTATCCCTCATTCTTCTAATATGATATTAATCATCAACTTACTATATTATTGCAAGCAAATAAAAATATTAGGCAAAAACATGTTTCTCTCTTCAATATGAAATGTAGTGACGAATTGGGACACTTTACAATCAGGTGTCTCTCAAGACAACGCAACGTAGACTACATTTATTTATTTATAAAATATTTTACTAGGAAAGATACACTGAGATTTCTCTCATTTTCAAATATGTCCTGGGTCCACAAACATTGCATCGTTGCAAAAGGGTACAATATTACAAAACGAAAAAAGAAATAAAAATAATACAATATATATACACACACACACATACACACATATATAACTAACAAATAATAGGTAGTACATATAGTCAACCATAAAAGGCGCATTCTGTGCTGAGGTCTCTTAAATTTTTTTAGATTGAATGAAGATTTGACTGTGTCCATGAGGTTATTCCATAATTGCGGTGCTCTGTAGGAAAAGGAGGATCGAGCCACTTTATTTTTGTATTTCGGTAAATAAAGTGCTTGTACTGGATCGGAGGTTATAGGAGGTGGGAACAGCTGGGGAGAGCATTCTACTCACAAGCTCTTATGCACAAGGCTTGAAAGATGAAGAGTCCATCGGGATCCCAGCTATAGCCAGTTTAGCTCTTTTAACATGTCACAATGGTGGGTCAAGTAATAACATTCAAGTACAAAGTGGCAAAACGAATTATATAACGTATTAAGTTTATGTAGGTGGGTTTGTGATGCAGGTGCATACACTACCTCCCCATAATCGATGACCGGCATAGCATTTGTTGCACTGCATCTGTTTCCTTACTGTAGGGCTTAGACTGGATTTATTTCTGTATAGGGCAACTAGTTTTGTAAAAAGTTTTGAAAAGATTTTTTCAATGTGAAGGCCAAAGGATAGATTGGGGTCTAGCAACATACCTAGATATTTGAAAGAACAGATTGCGGTCAGTGTGCTATTTGAATTTGTTCTGATACATAGTTGATTTTGTAGTTTATGTAATTTAGGTACTGTTCCAAAGATCGTTGTGATAGCTTTGCCAATGTTTAGGAAGAGTTTGTTAACCTCAATCCACTTTTCTACTTCTGTGAACTGGTCTTCGAGCATTGCCTCTAGCTGCGGTAGATTTGGTTTACTAGCGTAGATTAGTGTCATCTGCATACATGTGTACAGCAGAGGACTTGTAGACGTTAGGAAGACCATTTATAAATAATGTAAATAGTAGGGGGCCAAGAATGGAGCCTTGGGAAACACAACACGTGGCCAGGAGAAGGAGGCACTATCATAAATGGTCACATATTGCGATTGCTCTGATACATATGATCGAAACCAGGTTAGTGGACGATCACCAATACCAATTTTTTTCTGCAAAAGAATGCCATGGTCTACCGTGTCAAAGTCCTTGGCAAAATCAAGGAAAATAGCTCCAGTTAAGTCTCCTTGTTCCATGCCAATTTGGATGTCATTGCAAACTTTTAAGAGGGCAGTCCTAGTTGAGTGATTTGGACGAAAGCCTGATTGATCAGGGGTCAGATAGTTTGATTGGTAATAATATTCACATAATTGTGTGTGAATGCATTTTTCCACGATTTTTGACAATACGGGGAGCAATAGTATCGGACGATTTTTGGATACCAAAGTATTGTCACCACTTTCATGGATAGGTACTACTTTCACAGTCTTCCAAAGTTTGGGTATGTAAACACCGGGAATTCATTCATTATAATCGCGACAGGTTTAGCAATTGCCAGTGCACTGAGCTTTAGCAACATTGCTGGAATTTGATCTGGTCAACAGTGGTTTTTCATTTTTAAATTATTAAGATGTTTATGAAGGACACTAACAGGCACAGGTCTAAAATTTAATTTCTATATGCACTTTGGCTTTTTTAAATTGCAACAATTTGGCTGAATTATAGCTCAGTGGATCTAAGGTTTATAATATATATGTTGGAAGAAATATGTCTACTGCTTTAGTAAGAGGTAATCATCAAGTGCTTTAGTTGGTTATTTTTCTCTGAGTTTCATAGAATTGGTTGAAATCAATCCAAGTCCTAGCTTTATACTTTTAGTCTCTTGGTTATGTAATTCTGGTAATGATTTATAAAATTGCAAAAACTAAGACTATGCCACAGGTTTATAAACATTCTAAAATAATTATCACAATGATGTGACACCAAGGGGTACATAGCTATTACTGGAAATATTTTAATTGAATCCACTAAAATATTTTTAAAAGTACTGCCTTGTTTAGAAAAAATGGAAAATAGTTTAAATTAATTTTATTATTATTTAGATATTAGGTATTATATAATGAGGATTCCCTCTTCAAAACAAACTATAGCAGCAAGCAATTTTTTCCCCACATGAACATCTCCATATGGAGTCTTGGTATCGGCAGGTCCTTTGGGATTCATGTATGTTAAACACTGTAGAAAATTTTTAAGTACTGCTACATCTCTCTAGGTCAGGTTTCTCCAACCTGTTTCTCCAACGGGCCGCATGGGCCTCTGAACTGCTTGAAATGTCACCCAGTTGTTTTCTGGGCTGCCAGGCGGTGAGGATGGTAGGGAGCCTATTACTTACTGTGCTGTTTCTGAACAGTTACCTTGCGTGGCCTGCAGTAAGTCGGCAGCTGGAATATGACATCATTTCATCATCACTACTGGGTGCACAAGGGACCCATACATCAAGAGCATAGTGACCCCATCACAGCAGCAACCACTGGCCACCAGGGAGAGGATCCACTCCAGCCCTTCCAGAGCAAGGTAGGGATAATACAGATTAAGGAACAGCGAAAACACATACACATAAATTTTTACATGTTATAAGACTACATCTCAGCAAAATATTTGTTTACTCAGGTAATTTTAAGTAGCCTTATAACATGTTAAAATGTTTTTATGTGTCCGCTGTTCCTTAATCTGTATGATGTATGAATTTTGGTCACTACGGAAGAACCATTCCTGCAAAATGCATGTTTCGAGTGTGCCCCTAATTCCTTTTTGTCTTTACCGAGCAAGGTAGGGAGACTGGGTGGACCTATTAATTACTAAATGTGTGTGTCTGAATGAGATTTCTGTGTGTGTATGCCAGATATTTTGTGGGGTTGTGATTGTGTGTCTGTGATTACATGTGTTTGGATGTGTGATTGTGTTTGTGTATGTCTGTGATTATGTTATGTTTGTGTATTTATGTGATCATGTGTACAGGTCTATGGTTCTACGTGTGTTTTTGTGGGTCTGTGATTGTGTGTGTGGGTATCTATGATTGTGTGTACGTATGTGATTGTATGTGTGTGTCTGTGATTGTTTGTGTATGTATGTGTGGGTCTGTGATTGTGTTTGTCTTTGTATTTGATTATGTGTATGACTGTGCTTATGTGTATGCGTGTGTATGTCTGTGATTTTGTGTGTGTGTGTGTATATCTGTGATTGTGTGTGTGTTTATAGGTCTGTGATTATATGTGTGTGTGCATATCTATTATTGTGTGTTTATGTCTATATCGGAGGTTATGTGTTTATGTATATACATGTGTGTGTGTTTAGTAGATAACTCCCTAATATGATATCCTTACATATGGCAATTCCACATAAGGATAACAAATAAGGGAGTTATATATTAAACAAAGGAAATATCAAAATTAAGAAAATGGCTTTTGAAGTTTTATTATATAAAATTCCTCTGCGCTCAATCTGACCAGGGGAAGCCAAAAGTTTGACATCCACGCTCCTAGTTATACACAGAGCTTCAGAAGAAGCATCCCCCTCATAATAATACAATCAGCCCAAACACAACATCACTGACAATCCACATACATGCACACAACCCCACAAACAGTCTCACATGTAAAACAGCAAGCAGCCCTACAAATACACAAATCACAATGCACACTATGTGGCATACAGACACACAATTTCACAAGCAGTCTGAAAACATAGTCCGTATTCATAGGTATCATATAGAATACCACAGACTACTCATGAACATATATAATATAACAGAGGCAAACAAAATCCCATTATAGCAGTGGGGAGTGAAAAAACCACCAATCACCACAGAGATATCAAAAAAACACCCCACCACAACCCAAACAAACATGCACTATCATCAAATTACCTAAACTACCCCACCCAAAGAAAAACCAACAATACAATTTATGATCCACCCGAACAGAGAAAAGACCCCTATGACACTACCCCAAGACCACAAAGACAGAGATACAGTTACCAGAATAGTGATCACACTAACCACAACAAATCTCCTTTGAATTACAGCCACCATAACAGATACCAACTATTATCCATTGACTCTGAAGCTGACAACGACGAACATTTTTTAGAGATCAGGACCAACACACCATCACTTGCACAAACACCATACCCGCCATGAGCAAAAAAGAGAAACCTAAGTATAGAGGAAGGAGAGGTGGAAGAAGTGTACAAAAAAAGAAAGACTGGAGCAACGCTTAATGTTTTAAAAGAAAAAGGCCACCCAAATCTCAGTTCTCAGCAAAGGCCTAAATAAAATTTACCCCCACAAATCCTTTTGACTCATTTTATGTTTTCCTAGACATAAATAAGTTTGTGAGAAAAGCCACATTAAAACGATTTTTCATCAGTAAGTCTGGCACTTTAGTCAACACTTCAACAGATATCCCTAGCTCTACAACCTCCAATGCACCAGACACTTTAGTCAAAACCAATAACACCTCAACCAATATCTCTAGCCCTACCACTTTGAATGAAACCTCAGTAGTTAGAACACACTTACAAAAGAATGCAAGCTTTTATCCATCTAGTTTTAAGTCTGGTCCCATAGAGGTGTTCGAAAAAATGGTTTTAAAAAGACTTAGAAAAAATTCCCAAAACAAAAACACTAAAGTATCACCATCACAATTTATCACGAAATGAACAAATAGCTTTAAAAGAATTACAGAAAGATGATATCATCATAAAGCCAGCTGACAAAGGGGGCGGCCTAGTAATTATCTCTAAAATAATGTATATAAACG